ATCCACTACACAGCCGGTTTGGAAGCCGGAACTTCGTCTACACAGCGATCCCACACGATCTCTCTCACTACACAGTTTGATCTCAACAGATCACTCCCTCACAGTAGATCTTACTCAAGATCTCAACTACACAGCACAAGATAACAGATGTAGAACTCTCTCTTACAAAGCTCCTATGGCAAAGAGAACAAATTTCTGAAGCTGGGAGGTGAGCTCACACAAAACCACAGAGAAGAAAGCAGGACTGATTTGAAAATTTTCTCAGCAGAAACAGAAAATACTCTCTCTGGTTTTCAAACGTTTGGCTCAAGGAAGAAGAAGAAGCAGCTGTAGGGTTTTTATAGAATAGATTAAAACAATTTTAAAAACAAACCCAATCTTCCTGTTTAGGAAGATAATCCCCTTTACAGAGTCTTAGCTCAGACTGAGCCAAGCACGAAAGAGTGAAAGCACAACAATCGAAAATAAAAGACCGTTTAAAAAGAAATCTCGTGTTGACTGAAGAAAACAAAAGCGGTCGGCTCGACCGACGACCTTTCTGGAAACCAGTAAGAAAAGATGATATGTGCGGTCGACCGATCCGGTCGACCGATCCGGTCGACCGCTTTCTGACATGCTGGAAAACATGTTTTTGACCAAGTTAAAATATTTGTAAAATATTTATTTGACCTCTGAAAAATCTGAAACTTTGTAAAATGTTTTTGATACTAAAAACAAACTGTTTGAAGAAAGAATTTTGCAGATAGGTTCTCGTATTTGTGAAAAATAAGGTTTTGTGAAAACGGCTTAAAAGTTTAAGAAAGAAAACATGTGTGTAAGTCCCAATAGCTTCATGTAAACATAGTGACTCTTTGCCTACAATCTAGCACTAGAGAGAAACATAAAGGAAAGCTAATATCCTCATATTTAAAGCAATACTTGAGCTTTGATTAGCTTGAATCGGATGAAGCTTTTATATGAGTTTGTCGTTCTTGAATTAACGTTGCTTCATCTCTTGGCCTCCTCCTCCTTTGGATATTATCTTTGTAGCATATATTCCATCCATCCTCCATTGATGACACTAACGATCTTGATAAATAGATTTACTACAATTTCACTCAATAAGCCATTAGTACCAATAATGGTGGTTGTGAGAACATCATCAAAACATAAGGGCTAACATCAACAAACCTTAACACAATAGCCATTTGCTCACAATTGGATTCATCTCGAGATTCATCAATTAAAATACAAAACTTAAAGTCACCAATTTCTTCACAAATCTTTTTCCTCACCAAGTCACCCATAATTTCCATAATCTGATTTTGAACCATCGGTGAAGTATAACTAGCATTCCCGAGAGCATTTTCTAAGATAACCTCTGCAACTTGCACATTAAGAATTATACTATATTTGAGCAATTCAATAAAGTTTCCACGATTTGCTGAATCAAGAGATTCGTCATGCCCTCAAAGAGCACATCCTTGACATGCTAGCCAACGAATAGTATTAATCATAGTGACAACACGCAAGCAATTTTTTCTTTATTTCATCTTCATCTTGTAAGGTCAAATGTTTCTTAATGTTTTGAGACGACTTTTTCAAAGCATTGCATTAAAACAATTTTTGAATGTATTGATCATGTTTCTCCTTCATGCACGCGAAAATGACTATCTTTTCCTCCAGCTCTCTTCCAACTATTAAATCCTTCCGAAGTCGAAGTTTCTTGTTTATGTTGTTGGGAGGAATTGCTCTAAAAAAGAAAACAAGGAAAGCAATAGGCACAATCAGTTGTTTCAGAATATTCTAACCAAGCATAAGTCTTGAACCGATCATGTCGAAAGATACGTCCGTCTTCATTTCTTGGATATTCTCGGAGGTTTGGTTGGCATGGCCCTATTGCTATGTAACGACGTCGAACCTCATCTTGTTCTTTATATGGATATTTCCATATTGCTTGACGTAATCCTGGATTATAAGATACGGTATCCTTGACCTTTTGAATTTTAGGAGGATGTTGCTCTTCTTCTTTATCATCAACTGTTGGCTTCGTAGGCGGTGCCTCGCTTGAGGCTCCAATAATGTCTTTTTTGGAATAAAATAAAAATAAAGTTTTCATTCCCTTTCCAGACATTTTAGCTTCAAAATTTAATAGATTGTGATTAGGATATTAAAAGATTACATGCATTAAGAAGCATATTAAAAGATTATGATTAGGATATCGAAATTGCTAATGACTACCTAGATAACATCTTAGTCTATAAACTAAAATAATTAACCGGGTCCATAGTCAATCAGATTAATGGAGGAACCATCAATTTGAAAAGAGATCTCTTCGTTAGTGGCATTTGAGTAATTAGTTGTTGGAATCGTTAGGGCTAGGGTTTGGGGGAGGGTGAGGGAGCTGGAGGAGGGCCGAGGGTTTGCTCTGGAAGGCGAGGTCCTACTCTATATTCACAAAGAAACGATAATAACAATATCAACAACAAAGCCCTTTATCCCAAAAACTTGGACACATAAACAATTAAATCATTTTGAGGAAATTGTAAAGCCCGGAGATTTAGATGAACATCTTCAGACAAAATTCAATTTTAATTCTCGATCCATCTTTTTGATCATCAACAATCACTAAAAGTAAACATATAAAAAAAGAAAGAAAAAAAAAGAAAAGAAAAAAAGAGAGAGATCAAGATTAGGAAGAGATACACACTGCGGGCGAGGATCAATCGCAAAGCGGCCGCGAGGAGGACGTTAGAGCGGCGTCGAGGCTCGATCGGTCGAGGGCTTGCTCTGGGAGGCGAGGAGGATGTTGACGACGACGAAGATTTGGTCGGGGCGGTCGTAGGAGAGCTTGGGAGTTTGGATCGGCGTTGAGCGGTCGAGGGCTTGCTCGGCGAAGCGCTTGGATGATTGGATCCAACAAGGTCGCGGCCCACGAGCGAGAGAGGGCTTAGAGGGGTATTAAAAAAAATTCATTTTCTTGCCCTTGGCAGCTGCCCAGGGCAAGCCGTGCACAGCTACGCCTCTGTAAAGTATGACCAAACAAGCGTAGCTCTTACAGTGTGCATTTCTTTTGAAAGCATTGGTAACTGATCTGTGACCATGCTAGTTTCTGTAACGAAGTTGAAGATTGGTCAGTATCATGGGACATAACTTATTCTGCTTCAAGTTGCCTCTTCTTTTTGGGCATGTTCTACGGAGAAATAAAGTTGTTTATCCTACTCGAAATTTATGTAAACTCCAAGTCAACATCCAGGTGCATACGCATATTTCAAAATTTGAGATACAGATATGGAAAACTGAGGAATCTGAAAAATAGTAAATATACTTTTATAAATAATTAGATGCCATAATTTTCTGATCTTTATCTATAGAAACTGTTTAAAATAATTTAATTTATAAACTATTAGATACATTCATATATCCCTTACATCTGGATTTGGATAGACATGTTTGTATACATTTGAATCTACACCATAAAGATCAATTTCGGCATCTGACTTTTTTTAATTGAGCTCCTAATCTGTTCTCACACTTCAGTTTTAGAAGCAATTTACTGGGATTTCCTGTTGAAGGTTTACTGCATTTGGTCTATCCATTTGAACTACCAACATAACGTAATGAATTTCGCTGTAAATTCGTATAACTAGTAACATACCTTTCTCTTTAATGGCTTGCAAGATATTTTATATGGTACAATATGAGGTTGTACAGATGACCAGAACTCAAAACTTAAATCTTTGCAGGCTGGAGCTGATGCTTCCTTCGTAGAAGCACCAAGAGATGATGAAGAGCTCAAAGAAATCGGAAGGAGGACAAGAGGATACAGAGTCTGCAACATGCTTGAAGGCGGAGTTACACCATTGCACACTCCACAGGAGCTTAAAGAAATGGGTTTCCATCTCATTGTGCACCCTCTCACAACCCTCTATGCTGCTGCCCGTTCCATGATTGATATCCTCGAGCTCCTCAAGGATGCAGGAACTACTAGAGGTCAGCTTCAAAAGCTGGCCACATTTGAGGAGTTTAATAAGTTGGTTGGGTTGGAGTCTTGGTTTGAGCTCGAAGCTCGCTACTCTAAGTTCAAGAGTGCTGTTGAAACTAAGGCATAAATAAGAGGTCACTAGATGCTTGATAAGCATTAGGTATTTAGGTCGTTTCATCTTCTGAGTTTCTAATATTGTTTACTTGACTGAAACTTGTGTTGGAAACATCAGATTTAGAATTCTGAGAGATCATTCAAGAGGAGATTAGAGAGGATGTACAGAGTACAGACCATGGCTTGGTAGCTTTTTTATATTTATAAGAAAAATTGCAAAAATTTTGGGTTCTCATTTCTTTCATCGATCTTAGTTCACTTGAAATAAATCCAACTTATGGATCATTTCTAAAACAGGGAGGTATCTGGATTATTTGCTATTCAGAGCAAAATATACATAATTTGTATACAGCTGTAAACTGCATATGGAAGGATCTGGAATAGAGCAAAATGGCCTTTGGGATATACCTCTGTGAATTCTGGCAACGGAATGTGTTTATTACCTAGCCATTTTGTTTTGAATGTGCTATTTTGAGGGGTTAATTGTGCAAAGACCCTATGCACTATCGTCCAATGCGGGGTCCGTGTAGTTCTGTTGGTGCTTGGTGCAGTTAGACCTCAAGTGTTTTGACTCTTTTACCCTCAGAGAAGTACAATTATTTTTTGACAAATAGACTTCTTGAGGTTAAAGAGTGACAAAAAAAATCATTCAGGAGCTATCCGCACCAATAAAACTACAGGAGGTCTATCCCCCAGTTGGGCAATATTATAGGGTAACTAACGCTATTTTGAGTCGACCAGTATTTTTCAGTGAATAGAATCCATAGCTTGTGTTCCATATAACATTTCTGACCACATTAAGACCCCACAACTTTCTTTTCTGAGTACACCAACCACATATTAAGATTGTGATGCTTAAAGATTTCTGCAGCCTACCAATAGGAAGGGCCTGAGCAAATCTCATCTTATCCATAATCTCACTTGTGTCAGCCACAAACCCTTCTATTTTCTCCATCTTCACATTCACAATCAAAAAGCACACTCCTGCAAACAGTGATCATACTGAAAAAATGGCTGCCATGAACTCAAGTGTGTTGGCCTGCAACTATGTGATCTCAGGTGCTTCTGAATCAAGCAAGAAGCTTTTATCGATGCCAGCGAGTGCATCGATGACTGTTTCCCATCAAAGAGTAGTGCGATCTGTTAGAGCTCAGGGATGTGAATCAGAGGAGAGGAGTGAAGGAAGGAGAGCTGCTCTTTTAGGACTTGCTGGTGTGCTTTTCACTAGTGCAGTCACTGCTTCCTCTGCCAATGCTGGTGTCTTTGATGAGTATCTTGAGAAGAGCAAAGCTAACAAGGTTGGTTGTTCCACCATTTGTGGTTCAATGATTACAAATTATTATAACTTTTTTATTGCTAAACTTGTTTGTTAATGTCCCTCTCGCTGCACCAGAACTCAAAAATTTGAGGATTATAGTTTTATAATCTCACATGTTTCCGTAAGTTGAGCGCCCTTTTAATTGTAAAAAACTTGAACTTACACCAAGGTATCTTCTTTATTAAAATTGTCTTAAATTTGTGGCTAGTTTGGATTGCTCTAAAACTATATCAAAGTACCTTTCACTAACCAAAACTCTGATTTGTCTTAAACCTATAACCAATAGAATTTGAAGCTAGATTTCTTTGATATCATATCAAAGTCCCTTTCACCACAGCAAAACTCCAAAATTTGAGGGGTATAGTTTTATGTTCTAGCATGTTTTTATTGATTAAGCATACGTTGCTCCGTGTATGTGGAGTGTAACCCTTTTTATGAGTCGAAAACGTGAGCTCATGTGCATGTATTGTTTTATATGGATGTCATAAGTACGTGATCAATATCAATTGAACCTGAACTGCTTTGATACCATGTCAAAGTCCCCTTCACCAGCACCAAAACTTGTAAGTTGTAAGGCGGGTAATGTTTATACTCTCTAACAGCGATCCCAGCAAAAGTTCCACAAATGTGAATTCGTAGCCTGCCTGAGTTCATTGATTCAATCTGGTTAAATAACATGGATCGCTAACCAGAGAGTTAGCAACAAAATAACAATATTTTTTGGGTGCAGGAGTTGAACGACAAGAAAAGGTTGGCCACTAGTGGTGCAAACTTTGCACGTGCATTCACCGTGGAATTTGGCACTTGCAAGTTCCCTTACAACTTCACCGGATGCCAAGATTTGGCCAAACAAAAGGTTTTTCCATTGATCCCTCATCTTAAACTATGCTATTTTCTCCAAGATTTTTCTTAATATTTTTCATTCAAAACTCTTCAACGCATCAATCCAAGTTAGCTTCTCATTCGTTCAGTCAACTGTAACAAGTATCATTTTTTAATACATCCCACTAATGTTTTGTATAAAGAAAATGACATTATTAGCTATGCATCTAGAGAGCATATGAAATCTAAATAAAATATGGAGTGATTGTTTCACAACATGCAAATGTCACGGGCGCCTTGTTAAAGAGCGGCCTGTGACACAAACATCCTCATAAATTCACGGATTATATCATGTTAGCTAATCCTGACAAGCATTGGATGTATTAATTAGTTTTGCATTGTATTTGACTCATTTGCTGTAGGTTATCAATAGCTATCTAAAAGCACATGATCAACAGCTCATGAAATAGATCTCACATATAATGAATATATATGATTGTGTTATAGCATAACTAATTTTCAAATTTAATAATAAAGAAAAATTTTCATTAGCACTTTTTCAAACCCTAATCCTTAATTGAATTCTCTCTATTGTTTGCACATGTAGTGCCTCCTATATTTCAATGTGCTGCAGAGAAATTTCAAGCTCTCTTGTAGGTATAGATGATTAAGATAACATAAAGATAACTCCATTCAAGTTTTAGAGACTTTAAGTGCTAATAAAAAATTAAGATAAATAAGTGGTTAAGTCCCTACAGTACAGAGGGTGTATCTACAATTAACCGAGTGTATAATCTTCTAGTATACCAAATGGATGCATCATATCACATGGTAATTTATATATGAAAAAGATTACTCATTTCTGTATAATAAGCAGTTCATTTAATGCTTAAAATAGCTTGCAAATGGTTAACCATCGGTTTCTCTTTGTCTGAAATGATGCAGAAAGTGCCATTTATCAGTGATGACTTGGAGATAGAGTGTGAAGGCAAAGAAAAATACAAGTGTGGATCCAATGTTTTCTGGAAATGGTGAATAATGTAAAATATTGTAGAAGTCAAATCATCAATTTAATCAACAAACTTCTGTATTTCATGGATCTCCGTTCTTTATGTACCATGTTTATCCTTCACTCTCTTATATCATTTTAGAAAATTTTCGAACCGTATTCAACTTTAAACTTACATTCATGAAAAAGCCAACAGAGTAATCAGCAAGACCACTCAAATTTGCAGCTAAAACCAACCTCTGAGTCATGTTCTTCATTTTTATTGTGGAAAAAATTGTGCTGTTACAAAATTGTACATTCTCTCTCTGATACAAAAAAAGCAAAACGTAGACACTCATTTTCAATGTAAATAATGAACATAACCTTTCTGTACATGCTAACGTTTCTCTATATTTCACCTTATCTATCAAAAAATTGTAAAAAAGATCATCCAAGTAAATAAGGCTAAAACATTCCTCCGCCCAAAATTGTGTCCTAAGACTGTAAACACTTAGAAGAAGAAGATTCGTTACTCCTAAGATGTAAGCATGGCAAAGGAAAAACATCATAAGCTTCTCCTTCAACATACTCACATTGCCAATCACCATGAGATTTTACCTTCCCCAAGCTTATATTTCTCAAACAAACTCCTCCAAAAACACTGCCTTTGATTCCTTGAAGAACTGGTGCCTTACCTATATCAACACCGACAACATTGCTTATACTTATGCCATAAATCCTAGGAAATGCATTTCGATCCCATACATTGTCAGGGTGATCATCAGCTCCCCTACTGAATCTTATAGGTATTTTTACCCTATCCATTTTAATACCTGTTACTGTGATATTCGTTATGTACCCTCCTCTTCCTATGTCAGTTTTTACTCGAACTCCAGCAGCTGAATTCCAAATGTGCATGTCTTCGACGAGAATGTTTGATATGCCACCAGACATTTCGCTTCCAATTCCGATACCTGAGCATGTTGGAGTTGTGCCTGAAACCCTGCGGACGATGATGTTTGAGCTGGGTCGACCCATGGAGATCATCTCCACTCTCAATGTAGCAGTCTTCGATACAGACATTTGTGCTCGAGTCTGAGAAGTTTATTGGAAAAGTTAAAACAAATTTTACCTTTGTAAATTATTAAACGGAGATTGGTTTATTCCTCTACGTTCTTGGCTAGTGGATTGTTGACATGACAAACATCTAAGCTATTTGTTATGATTTTGGTATGTTGACATATGTTGATCATTAAGGTTGTAGTGGTCTAAATGTGTGTCACATCAGTCAGACACCAGCCAAGAGTATGAAGGGACTCACCAACTCTTGTTTCTAGAATTTTTTTTTTTATTTTTGATAAAATTTTCTAATTTTGATTAATTGAATTGTCTTATAATCGATGTGAGTTAAAATTAGTTATGACAGTGTTCAAGCAGTTGGAATATTGCAGATTGAATTTGTAGTTGGGCACAAATCCTTTTATATGACATAGCTATCATTTCTTACTTATTGTACAATTTACTTTAGGAAATTGAACACGTAAATATATGTTTCTTGAGCTAAATCATCATCTAATATGATTCAAAATAGCATGGTTTTCAAGTGAAATCACCACAAGCCAAAACCAGAGTTAAATCATAATAAAAGGGTGTTTGACAAGAAAAAAAGATCAAGAAGAAACAACTAATGCTAGATACGCTCATTCATTAATTACCTGGATCGATGCCATCAGTATTTGGAGCATTAAGAGGAGCCAAAACTGTAACATTCTTTATCACCACATTACTGCAAGATTTAACAAGATATCATCAACATAAGTACAAACAAGGAGATTAATTATCCTAATGAGAGATTAAGACGAGTTTTTACGTGCAGTAGACGGGGTGCACCGTCCAAAACGGCGAGTTTCGAAAGGTGACATTGGTGATGAGAATGTTGCTTGAGTTCACCAGTTCAAGAAGATGGCCTCTTGTATGTTGCAGAGTTCTATTCCACCACAATTCCCACCACATTTTGCCTTGCCCATCAATACTCCCATTTTGTCCTGTAACCAATGGAAGTTCGTAACATTAAACTTACCCTATTATTCATAGAATTTTCTCTTTGAGGGAAATAAGGACCTCATATTATCAATGATGAAGTAGGAAATTCTTACATGACATTATCTTGATACTGAGAGATATACTAGATAACTCAGTGCAGTTATTTTTATTTTTTTTGGAATTTCAAAAGTCTAAAAACATGTTGTCATCTTTCATCTAATTATTTTTCATATAGAAAACCTAACTGTAACCAGTTTTGTTATGTCACAAGTAAGATTTTACAAAAGGGTAAATTACACTAAACCTCCAAGAACTTTCAGTGTTTTGCAGTAAACCCCCAATACTTTCAAAATTACACTAAACCCTCAACAACTCAGCGTTTTGCAGGAAACCCCTTGTGAAACCCGCAACAACTTTCAAAAACACAGTGTAATAGCTTTTGTAGAAAACCCCAAAAGTTAACACCGTTACATCTGACATAGCACGTGCAACTCAAGTGACTTAAAAAGACCAAAATACCACTCAAATTATTAAAAATTCTTTTATGATCTTTTTATATTTTCAACCCTAAAAATAAAAATCTCTCATCTTTTGTCATTCGTTCTCCTCTAGCTTGGGCCCAGGTTGGGGGTCCGAACCTTGCTTGTTTTTCTTTGTTTGCTGAATCTGTCCTTCAAATACATTTTGATGTTGTTGTTTTTTTTTTGTTCTAATTTATGTGGATTATTTGCAAAATGCGAAAACTTCCCGGATGTTTTTATACAATTCCAGAAGTTATTGGGGTTTTTAGTATAATTTTGAAACCTATTAGGTGTTTATTGCAAAATGTTGAAAGTTCTTTGGGGGCTTAGTGCGAGTTCAAAGGTCATCTGGGATTTACCGCAAAATGCTGAAAGTTCTCGAGGGTTTAGTCCAATTTACCCTTTACAAAACAAGTAGAAAAAAAAAATTATTCCACTAGTCAATAGAAGCATCTTTTATTGACTAGTATTTTAATAGTAGTAACACTTGCCATGTACGTCACCGACCACTCTAGATTGTTCCTGTTCTATGTTTCAATAATGTTTTTTCTTTAACTGTGCTAAAAATTCTGAGCTATAAGATTCCTCCAGTACCAAATAAATCAAAAATAATATATATATATAACAATCTTTTACCTGTAATGATAACATTTTTGAGGTCATTGCCGTGGATGAGGCTAATGTGTCGTCCTCCCAATCTCTCCCGTCCACGTCCGTAGGATGGCAACCCCTCTACCACGGGCCACTCTTCTGGCTCCTTCCAGACATCAAATAAAACTGACATAAATTTCAACGTCATCTTCGCTAAAAGAAAGAAAGAAAAAAATGTACCAAAGTATTTTTTTTTCTTTATATTTGTCATTTTAGCGACCGGGTTGAGATGTTCACTATTTACTAAGGAAAATAAATGCATAAAATCTAGAGGATAAGATGTTCTTCAATGACCGGGAACAAGATGTCCAAGAAATTTATTAAATGGAGAAAATAATTGTGGAGCATACATAAATACTAAAGATAAGAAGAAGGCTTAAAAGAAAAGAAAATAACGTACAATGTAATGTTGTACTCCATTAACGAAAAAAATGTGTGTACTTCTTAAATATTGGATTCATCTACCTATTAGACTAAAATTCTAAAGTTATGGTGAAGATCTATAATTTTATATGAATTTTAACATGAACTTGAGTTACCATCTTAAATTTAGTTCATCGAATCGTTACATTAAAACTCTAAAGTTATAGTGAATATCAATGATTATAATTTTATATTAGTTTTAATAGTACTACGTTGGACAACAAAGATTGTCCACCTTTCTAAATGTTTATTTTGGAAAAAAGAAAAAAAAGGCATTGAAATGGAAAATTACCTCCGAGCCCAAAATAACAGCCCCCTCCTCCAGAAACAAGGTGAAATTACTGGTCAAATTAAAACTCCCGGTCAGCCACCTACCCGCCGGCACCTTCAACTGGGCCCCACCGTTCCCCGCCAGCTCCCCGGCCCGGCCCATAGCCTTTCGGAACGCCTCCGTGTTCTTCGTCCTCCCGTCTCCGACGCCGCCAAACTCCTTGATCGAGAACTCCACCGCCCTCTCTGGCCCCGGCTCAAAAAAGCCCACGCAGGTTTTGGGCCGGCCCGGTTGAATCTGCTGGCGACCGGCGATGCCTGTCTGGAGGCAGGCGAGGCCGAGGAGGGCGAGGAGTAAGAGGCCCGTCATGGCCCACGTGGGCCTTGAGTGGGCCCGGCGGATATTGGAGGTGAGAGAAAGAAGCCATGGGTGTTTCTCTGAGAAGTTCATTGGGGGATGATGGATGATGGTGGGAGCGAGGAGCGCGTGACCCGTTAAGTTCGGTGAATTTTTATGGAAAGTTCCGCCGCTCTTCACGCGATGCTGTCCAAATCCGTATCCGAATCCGAATTCAATTCAGAGTGTTTGGCTGTTATGACGTGATACTACGGAATGTATTTTATTACAATGGTTTATTTATGTATGTACCCTTCGGTCTCGTTTGGTACGCGTGAATGTGGTGGAATAGAATGATCATTCTCACTTCTCATTCTTTCCTATCAAACACATCCTTTTTTTTTTGAAATTGGAATGCACAATCCAACTTCTCATCAATTCTCACTTTTATGTGGGAATGTGCATTCCCAATGAAATGATAGGGAATGAGCATTCCCACTTAAATGAGAATCAATAAAATATACAATTTTAAAATACGTCCATTCCCACTTCATTTTATAAATTACATCCAAACGTGAGAATGAGAATGACTATTCCATTCTCACATTAATTTCATTTCATTCCTTCTTCCATTCCATTCTCATTTGAGTCCATTCCCGCGTACCAAACGAAGCGTTCAAGTCTATGGTTCTTAAAGTTGAAACTTAAAAAAAAAATCTTTAATTGATAATGTGATTCAAAAATCATATCTAATTAACTAGTTCCACAGTTGAGCTTAATTTTGTTAGATATGTAAGAAAATCTAGATATCGAAAATTACTACTCTACCTCGTGTTATACCGTCATGAATCCGAAATTAGAAAAAAGAGACGGAGAGGGGGATGAGGCTTGCGACCAACGACCTGCCCTCTTTCCTCTTGTTGACTCTTAATTTTGTCATGCCTGGGAGAGAAAGACTAATTAGTGTATATATGAGGGAGAGCTTAGTTTTTGAAGCTTATAAAACTATGCTTGCTTTTACAATGAGAACTTAAATTTTATAAACTTTATGGATAAAAAGGGTCAAACCTAACTTATTTGGACGGGCTTATAAATTAGTTTTTCAAAAGTTACAAACCTTATTCAAAATGTTTCTAGACATATAGATATGGATAAACTAGTTTAAAAATTACTTTGACAAAAAAAATGAAAGAAAGAAATAAAAAGAAAAGCTCCTCGAAACACCCCTTAGTGTTTGTGGTAATTTAGTATATTTCAAAAAAAAAAAACCAGAATGTCAGTAATAAATATATATATTCTTTAATAGGGAAATTAATGAATAGCTTGAAGATGCATCAATTATAGGTTGAATTGAAACATATGAAGGTTTGGAGCGTAGATTTTTGGAGCATGGAGATCAAAAATCCGATCTCAATTTCGTAGAAAATCTCAACTGGGCTTTTAGGGTTGGGCCAGTTTTTGGCGTAGAATGGATAGGCTGGGTAATTTTGTTCGCAAGAGGTTTGGCTTTGGCTAGTGTTTGACCAATTTTGGCAAAAGATGACAAGGGCATGGATTATCTCTTGGACTCTATTAAGGAGTTTTGGACCAGACAAATTAGAAAATGAGATGAAGGTTTGAAAAATGAGATTTAGATGTCAATCCTTACTTAACCCAAGTCCTAAAAATCTTGACCGTGAACCACTTGGACAGATTTAGGGGGTCAGAGAAAAACAATCCAAATTGACTCTGCAATGGATTTTTGTTTTTCTGATGTTCTGTTAGGTCGACCGCGGTGTCAAGTGCGGTCGACCGTTACTCAGGTTTGGGCCTGGGCTTCGTTTCCTATTTTGATTTGGTTTGTGTTTTGATATATATTGAAACACGATTTTTAGGGTTGCTTTAAGGCAAAAAGAAGAGAGTTTTTGAGCAGTGTGATTGAGAGATTTGGTGAGAGATTTGAGAGCTTTGTTTGAGAAATTAATTTATGAGTTTTGAGTGAATTTGTAATCTCTATTTGTACTCTCTCTCTTTAATAGTAAAATCCATCCCCTCCTTGCCCCGTGGACGTAGTACAACTTGCCGAACCACGTAAAATTTGTTTGTCTTGCTGTGGTGATTATGTTTTACTTATTGTTTGTGATCTATCTCGTTCTTGTTCGTGCTCTTTCGTGTGTTTCGAGTTCCGCTATGCACAACAAGTGGTATCAGAGCTTCGGGTTTAGCATGGGCTCGTTTGGAGGATTCTCTAAAGGATTCTTATTTGAAGAGTTAGATCATCAACATGGGTGAAGCAAGCACATCAGGATCATCCCTTTCAAAGGCGATACAAAGTCTGAGCATTAATAACACAAAGATTGATGTTCTGAAGTTCAATGACAAGTTTAATTTTAGTTTGTGGAGGTGCTAGGTGATGGATGCGTTGGATACTTAGAATTTGGAGGAGACTCTTGAATTACAAGAGAAACCTGAAGACATGAAGGACAATGTTTGGAAGAAGTTAAACAGTAGAGCATGTGTGGTTATTCGGTTATGCTTGATACCGAATTCAATTTATGATGTGATGAACAAGACGTTGGCGAAGAGATTATGGGAAACACTCAATGAGAAGTATCTTACGAAGAGAATTAAGAATCAGCTTCACTTAAAGAAGAGATTTTACCAATTCAAGATGAAGAGGAGAGTTTCCATTAGAGAGCATGTCAATAACTTCACGAAGTTGCTTTTGGATATGGCCAATGTGGACATCATAGTTGAGGATGAAGACAATACGATGTTGATATTGTGTTTGTTGTCGGAGGATGATTATGGTACCTTTGTTCTCACTATGATCAATGAAAGAACTACTATTAGCTACACGGAGGTGACCTCAGCATTGGTGAACTATGAGTTGAGAAAGAGTGATGTCGAACCCTCCGAGAAGGCATCAGGAGATGCATTAGCAGTTCGAGATCGTAGTCCAAACCGCCACTAATTCAACCACTCAAAATAAAAAAATAGAGGTGGCCATAAGAGTATTGGTAGAAATCAATGTGCCCTTTGTAAAGAAGAGGTGATAGACCCTAGAGGGGGTTGATTAGGGTCTTATGTTAATCTAATCTGATTTTATGCCAATTAAAACTAATTCAAACTATTCTTTTTGCAAGATAGATATACAATATGTTATAAGCAAGAATAAGCAATATGAGCAAATGAATATATCCTAGCAATGAGATATACTATGAAATATATGCAAGGATATAGAAACTAACACAAGGGTGAAATAAACAATCTACAAATGTGATAGGGAAATTTACGATGGCGACAAGAATGTAATGAATACTAAGCACAAATAAAACGCCAAAGCAAACTCAAACACAAGCAAATAATCACGGAGTTCGGACCTTCCGTCCTACGTCTTCGCTCCCTACTCCCGGGGAGAAATCCACTATCACAATCCGGTTTGAAAGTCGAAACTTCTACACACTCGGTTTTCTAGCTAACCGAAAACTCTACAACTCACACTCTTGCAAACCCCCCATCTACGCACCACATCACAAGTGTTGGACCCATAGTTGCTCGTCCCTTCACCTCAAAGTGCTCTCGGTTACACCTCTCTAGCCCATCGCCGCACCGGTTCGCTCCAACCGCACGTCCACTCCTCTTGCGCCCACCGGCATCCCCCCTCTCCACGCAGCTCCACACTACCCTCCTCCAGGGTGTACAAGGTGTATTACCACGAACAGACTCGATCTCACAACGATTAAGCACCCCAATACAAAGGAATGCACTTGATTCTCTATATATGGCATGAGAACACATCACTACAAAGCGCTCACACCCCTCACATCCTCTAAACCCACAACTCCTCCACTAACCCAGACACTATCACTATGTATGAAAATATACATCAAAGCCCTTCAAGCTGGGTGCTGTGTAGTAAAAAATGATGTGTTAAAATCAAATCTAAACCTCAAATAGCAATCATTTAGCCAATAATAAGATGATGAAAATCAATAATAATACTCTGCTAGAGAAAAGTTAGAAAACCTTCTCATAAACACATAAATGACGAGCAATGAGAAGATACTGGAAGATGTGAACTCGCTCAACAGGATGATGTCTAAACTCCCTCCTTTGTAACTAGCAAACCCCAAAAGACAAACTACAACCAAACTCTAAACTCTTTTTAAAACACTGTTTAAAACATTTCTTGCGGATTGGGTTTGAGAACTGCAGAGTCAATGCCGTATTTTATAGCCCTCCCCAAAAAAACCTCACGCCGCAAGAACCCGCCAACCACACAAAGTACAAAAACGCCCACGAAATCAGACAATCATGAAATTCCTTGTCACCAAATTATGACCGATTGGGCGATCGGTGCGCTCGACGCGTGGCCGCAAAATTCAGTGGGTCGACCCGTGGAAAGATCATTAAAACTGAGCACAACAAACATAACAGGCTCACGGCCTCGGATCCCGACACCGAAGACCATACCGCACGGCGCCTCCGCACCGTGAGAACTTACCAGCACTGCGAACTGCGGTCCGACCGCACCACGGTTCCGGACCCGGTTGAAAGTTTCTATCTGACTATCTTTAGCCGGAAAAAACAATCATAGGCGACACCCCGCCCGCGCACAGGCCCGGTCCGACCGTTGGCCGGACGGGCCATGTCGACACGCGGTGAACCTGCATATACTGAAAATTTTAGGTTTTGAAAATAGTTTGCTGATTTTAACAATCCCTGTTCTCTACCACAAAATATTCAAATACATTCATCCACCAAAATTGTGAAACTTTGGAAACTGCATCTCGTAGACACTCCATCGATAATACAACCGACACCATGCCTATAAAAACCCTAGTTTTCTAAAAGAACTTACCCAACAATGAGAAATGCTTATGCATTCTTCCGGCAAACTAGTCTAAAACCACGAAAATGTCAAATATCCATGAATTTTGACACTTAGTGGCTAAAACCACCTCACGCTGTTTTAGAAACTTATACACAACATCCTCCCGTAGACTAAAGTAAAAATCATGTATATGCAATTATTAATTAAGTCCCAAACTCAAGATATACATACTTTTTACAAATACAATAGACAAATGAAACATCATGAGTATGGATATATAGACAAATATATGT